AAAAACTGTGAGAACTGAAAATATTGAGTGTGTGTTTTTCTGTAAAGCTTGGAAAACGTAAAATAAAGGTACTCCATCACTTAATTTATGTTAAATATACTTGGTTATTCTGATTCTAACCAAAACTTTCTATAAATTTTCATACAATTATTGTTTTAGTTTTTTTAAATCAAAATTTTTATAGAGCAAAATTTCTATGATGATTCAATGGATTGCAAGTCATAACTAAATCATGATCTTTATTTCACTTATGGCAGATAGATGGCATATAATAAGAATTGAAGTTTTCAAGAAGGAAAAAAAATGTAAGCAAAAAGCATGTAAAAGAAAGAAGATGAAGAAACTAAGATCAAAACCCAATTGTGATTTTTCGGTTGTAAACAAAGATTTATTGCTCATTTGATGTCATTTATAAAAACATAATAAGATTTAAATAGATATTGCAACGAGTAATTTTAGGAGAGTATCTTGCTATATTAAAAATAATTACAAATGAATCATAATTCGAAATATATTAAAAATGAGATTTATTTATTTTGAATTAATTATGTTAATTATGGCATCGACAGTTTTCTAATTGATATAAATAATTTACATCAGTTATTTTAATCGACACTAATACTATCATCACTTAATTAAATTGACGTAACAATTAACATCATTTTTTAAAAATGACATATATTCATATCAATTATATTAATTGATGTAAATATTTTGTATATTGGCATCGGTTATCAACTAAATGATGTAAATTATTTGCATCAACACATTTAAAATCATTTGTTAAAGCGATGCAAAAGATTTTTGCATCATTTATAACTAATACAAATATTAAAAATAAATGATGTTATACAACCTTTTTTTTGTAGTGACTACTGTATATTATAACTACAAGTCTACAAGAGCCGACTCGCGAGTGAACGAACATTGTTGAGACTTTTTTTAGCTAGTAGCAGATTTCGATATGGAGTACTTAAGTTAATGAGTGATGATGGCATAAGATGTGTTGCGCACACGTGGAAGCTCTAGATTAAATGTACGATCAAAGAAATGAAAACGATGGATTTATGCCCTTAATT